AGGTTGGTTAGTAGTGTTGGAATTCATGTGGGCAGACATGACCATTCCTACTGAGTAACTTAGTTGCTCACCCCTCTTTTTCCCCTTTTCAGTGTGTGCAGGTGTATTTCTTGTGTTGAAAGTTAGGGCGCGAGACCTAGGGTTCAAAGTGATCGGGGAACGGATGTTACAACCAACCTTGACATAGACATGAACAGTCTCATTCTTCACCTCATTCGACTCGCCAAGGGAAACCTGAGAGTTAATTAAAAGAATCAAATATTAGACTTTGGCAGAGAAACTTTCAAAAAGAATCATAAAACCCATTACTGATACACAGACCTGAGAGACATGGATCATATACCCATCTTCTGGTTCGACCTTGAGTGGACTCCCTGGCTTAATCTCAATACCTACAATTCACACCAATAAATAAGCATAAGGAAGACAATATTTTAAAGCCTCTTTCCGAGCTTAGAAAGGCATACCCCAAAACTCCATGGTGCTTGACTGGATTTGTGTGTGTGTGGCTGGTTCAAGAAGAAGAATTAGAGCATTTTTAATGGAGAAATTTTAGTGGATTTCTTAACACAATTTTAATTAAAATATAATAAGTTTTTAGACACTTTAATGAAAGGGGTTTTATGTACTGACACTTTAGACACTTTAATGAAAGGGGTCTTAATGAAATTAATATTAAAAAATGATTTAAGACACTTTAACTAGGTTAAGGTTAAGGATGCTCTTAGGGTTTTAGACTTGTTTGAAAAAAGAGGACAGAAAATGAAGCGGCTTACTTAAAAGGAGGAGGATACTACCCTCTAGGTCTAAGCTTCCGGTTTAATTCAGTTCCTTTCGGTTTGCAACCGATTTCTCAAATTTAGTGGGCCAATTTTAATTAGTTTTTTTTTTGTCAACCCAATTCTGATTAGTTAGACCAACCAAAATATAAAAAAGCCCAGTTAAACTATTTTTTTTAACCTAAAAACCCAATTAAACAAAACACAATTTATAAGTACCATTTTCTTTTCCGGCTTATAAACACATCAATCAGATTTGGCATATACTCATTACAGGAAAAACAAATTGACATTACAAAAAACACACTATATTGTTGAACCCAAAGTTTAACAATGAATTGGTAGTAGGGAAATATTAGGAAATCGAGAGGTCGAGATTTGAGATCGATCGAGATTGATTGGTGAAGATGTCCAACCAAAATTATGGAAATATTGTCAATATCGAAGATTATGAAAGTTAATATTTGTGTATAAATATCAAATATGTAAAGAACTTGTTCAACATGTTATATTCTTGTATAAATAGACTTATTTGCTAATCAATAAAACTGAGAGAAACTATTGTACTTCTAAAGTTTCCTCCAAAATCTATCATGAAAAGGTCAAAGATTCTCGTTTATAAGTCAGAGCTCACCGTTCGCTTAATAAACGGATAAAAGTTAAATTTGGTTTTATATTTTATAGTTGCACGCAAGCCAATAACCCGATTTAATAGAATATTCTCCACTTATATTTTGAACCCACTTGAAATCTTGTTTTTGGTTAACGAGGGTTTAGATTTCATTATGAGTTCAATATCCTCAAGAAAAAAAATTCTCATTGAACTTTCCACGATCTCATATCATTGTTTGAGGTTTAATTAGATCACATATACCATTTGTGTGACTGCATGGTTCCGTGAACCGATTAGTCATGTTGTATAGAATTTTAAAAGTTGACCGTGGCTTGATATATATTTTACTTGTTTATTTTTTGCTAAGAATGCTAATATCGTTAAATATCAAATATTGATGAGTTAGATATCAAATATTGACAACCTATGACATTGGTTCTTGGCAAAAAAAGATAGAAAAACAAGGAGAGCATAACATAAATGTAAATTTTCATAAATGATACATGAAGCCACAAAACACAGACATTAAATTTCCAAAATGTCTATTGTTTCATCTTGAAGTGGTGATGTTGCGAATACACGATCTATGCATTTGAAGATTGCTTGTGTTGGTGGTGACTGAGCGTTATGCAAAACATTGTTTCTGTTTCGAAAAAGTGAAAAAGCGTTGTTTAAGCAAGAATATTTTGGAAAAGGGAATGAGTAAATTATACGTCATTGTGTATGCATATTTAAATCCGTATAACGGATGATAACAAAACAAATATGTTCGACTGTTGTAATCTAATCCCAGTGCCGTCTCAACTTTTTAAGGGGTCCATGGCCAATTTTTGTTTTTTTAAGTCTTTATAAAAGAAAAAAAAAATAAAAAGGGCCCTTAATCCCTTAATAAAGAAAATTTTCTTAGAAAATAGGCTCTTTTTCTTATACAATTTTACCAAATCTGATTAGGGTCTAGGGCCCATTCCCCTTCGGCCTACCCCTAGAGCCGGGCCTGGACTAATCGTAGTTACTGGGTACTTTTTAAATTGTATTAACTTGAAACTAATTAGGAGAAAGAAAGGGTATTAAAACTGAGAGAATCAGAGCAACAGCAAGACGACACTATATTGATATTCCGTTGGCACAAATGTCTGACTTTGGAGTTTGGATAAGGTTGGCAAAAGTCATTAGCACATAAACCGAAAGCAAATCTGTATTAGAGTTCCTAACCAAATTCTT